TTAACAAGTTTTCTTCCTAATTCCTAGACTAATGACCTAAATACAATGGTCAAAGTAATACAATGAAATAGGAAAAATTACAAGAAAGAAAATGAGCCCAATATTGGGTATCAAAAGCCCAAAGCCCAAGAAGCCCAAATACAAGCCCAAAATTCATAAACCCTAATCTATGGTCAAAATACAAGACCAAAACAAAGTAACTTCCTATTCTAAGAATGTGCTATAGAACATGGTGTTTAATCAAATAAAGTCCAAGTGAGAAGTACCCTAGGCCCACCAAGCCCATTGGCCCACTAAGCTCTGAAGTTGACAAGTCTTCAAGTAATCTTCTGGCCATAGTTCTAGTGGTTAAGCCTTTAGCTCATGCTCTTCCATCATTCAGAGTCTTCGAAAAGGTTTTAGCGCATAATAAGATTAATTAGAAAATATATTTTTTATTGAATTAATTAATAAGTCTTAATACCTTTCCACACCAATCTTTATAAATAGTTTTACCTGGTCAGAAATATTAATAAAATCACTTATCAGGTTTCTTTAAATATCTTATAATCACAATATGAAATCAAACATCTTTAAAATCTAAATACTCATAGCAATTATGCATAATTAGTTTCCATGTCATAGTGTAAAATAAGACTATTTTTGCATAAAATTATACATAATAAGGATCCAGCCACCAAAAACACCATTGTTTCCCACAGATAAGGATCCTTAGGGATCACAACAGGTTCAGGGTACTCTGACCAAGTAGAAGTCACAAGAGACAAGCCTAAACCAATGAGGGTATTGAAGATAGGACCGGCATAGCAACCTGATATTGCTACTTGAACACCCTCTTGTCCACCATTTAAAGCCATTGTTAAATTTGTCATTAAATCACCAATTGAGTTCCCCCAAGCAAGAACTGTTAACCCTAGCATTGAAGGACTTATTCTACATATGTACCCTATTGAAACCAGCAACCCCACCAACTCTTGTGCTATAATGTAGCTCCATGTCACACTCATCACAAACCCACCTGCAAGCCAAGGAAATAAGCACTTGTTTGGTGGCCCTGACATTTTGGTTGTGAAAAATGCAGCCACACCAAATATGATTCCAACCAACAGTCCAATTTCATACACAATAAGGTTTTGGCTGAAGTCACTGTTTCCATTATAAGGACTTCTCCACAGGAAAGACAAGAGAAGTGGAGATAATATCACTGAAGAAACTGCATACACCTTTGACCATCTCTCTTCACACACAATAGGAATTGTCAATCTCCTAGGCAAGTAAAGGGGCATCTCAAGAACAAAAAGTGACACTCTACACATGGAATATCTCATACAACAGAAATGTTTCTCAATATCTTGAGCACCATTTTCAACACAATCAATTGGTCCTTTCTTGAGAAGAGGCACACTCAAACTCAAATCATTGCCAATTTCAGCATCAGCACCACCACCACCTTCCTTCCATCTAGAAGAGACATAAACAATAACCACATACACAGCATACATCAAAGTGAAACCAATTGCCCCAAGAACATTGATCCTACCATAGACCAAAATACCAAACAAGGTCAGAAGAACCAACAGGAGAAAATAAACATCTCTCACAAACGCAGACTTGACTACTTGAACACCCCTTTGGCGTGTTGCAATGCTCACACTCCCCACCACAACACATGACACAAAGGAAACGCCCCCAAGAACCGTGTTGAAGCCAATGCTTCGGGTCCCACTTCCCTGGAAAGACACAAGGCTAGAGAAAACATCACATGCACCATTTCCAAGAGAGAGGAGAGTAACTCCAGCAATAGTAGGGGACAACCTTAGTAACTTTGAGAGGCTTTCAAGGGAGGGACAAAAGTACTCAGAAGTTGTGTTAGCCAACAAGTAAAACAGAACTAGGAGCCAAAGAAACAAAAGGGTGTAACCCAGAGAAGGGAATCTCCCAAATTTGCAATAGAAAAGGTAGAGATAATCAATGTAGCCCTGAGAAGCACAAGGGTCATTGGATTTCAGGTACAAGCACTTGGCTCTGTAGTCACCGAGGTTGTCTAAGCTCTCACACTCTTGCTCATTGCTGATATCAGAGGCAGCGATTTTGGTCACAACCACAACTTCTGGGGTGTGTAAATGAACAATCATAAAAGAACAAATCACGAGGAGGAAAGAGGTGTTGATGAACAAGGTGTATCTCATGCTTTTAGACACACAAACTGTCATGGCTATAAGCACTTAGAGTTAGACTAAGACCAGTGTTTCAAGCACAAAGAAATATTAATATGGTCGTAACTTTGTGATTAAGGAAAGCCATGCATTTGTGAACATGAAGCAAAAGAACTAAGCTAAGAATACCAAGATCGGAATGAAGGGGAAAAATCACATAATCATGTCGCAGAACAGAACAAGACTTAAAGAAGGGATTTTATATCAATGATATGGATGGATTACAACTTTCTCTGGCTTTTTGTTTAAGGCAGAACAAAGAGAAGAATGAGTGAGAATATGGCAAAGGAAAAACCAATTCGATTTGTATAATACAATCTTTTGGTACATCATTTTGGCCGGTTGCCGCGCACGGGGGGCGGAGGGGTTTGGCCAGTGACTCTCGAACGGCCACTGACGCCGGCGTTGCCAAACCTCCCAGACGAACGAACAGCGTGAAGGACGTGAAAATGGTTTTTTCTGTTTTTGTTTCTCATTAATGTGGTCCACGTAGATAAATTTCAACCAATCAAATTGTTTTTGTCAGTGATAAGGGCTGTTGCTTGTACAAGCAATTCACAAAAAAATTTAAGAAATCCAGCTGCCATGTAAGACAAGTCCAATAGGGGTTTGTTATAAGGTACTGTGCTTAACAATAAGAAACCCTTCAAGCACCCTCCGTTGGAGGTGCTCATATATAATGGATTATGATGAACTTTTACGTTCATTTGCTATAAAACCGCAGCAAGTAAACATAATTAACTACTGACCAGAGATTCTTTTCATTCAGGCACGTGTAAATAAGTCAACATCACTCACATTGTCCATTAATACTATTACTTAACTGATTAACGGTTGATAGATTGCGCAATCACATTTTCTATCTCCTTCCAAGACTTCTTCCTGCTATATATACACATAATTCAACACGCGTGTGTTACATTTTCTTCATCATCTAATTTTTTATTTTATCTTGACATTGATAGAAATATCCTCTAATTTCGTTCACATTAATCTCTTTTAAAATCTTGATTACATTAAGATTATTTTTTTAAAATTATTTTTTGTCAAATTTAAAAGAGATTTTGACATATAATTATTCCTCAAAGTTTTTTATTTATTTATTAAAGCTAAGACTCAAATTCAAAGAAACAATCGCAAAATGAATTATACCAACATACGTTAATTCTTGATAAACTATTTTATAAAACATAAAAACATATTTTGAAGACATTAGGAAGATAAATTTTGTTTCCATCTTTAATAATCCTACTTAACTCAAATAAGATTACATCTAACAATGGTTTAAATTTAAAAATAATAAAAAAATATATATGATAAAAATTATTTAATACATTTTTTTAAGTATTGTTATTAACTAAAAATATCAAAAAATAAAAAAATATATATATCACTTTTTATTTAACTAGTATTTTAGCCTTTACCTTTCACAAGTCAAATACTTATTATATAACTAAAATTTATAATAAAATATATATATAAATACTATATTGAAATATATAAATTATATTTAAAATTAGTATATACGAATTATATTTTAAATTAAATATAAATAAATATATTATTTTTAGTAATATTTTTATATTTATCAAAAAATGTTATCTTAATTATTAATAACTTATTTTAAAAATATTAAAGTATAATTTATAAATAAATATAATAAATAAAAAATAAAAAATTTTAAAATATTCTCATCAAATAATAACTCTTAAAAATATTCTAATTTCAAATAAACTTTCGCACTTAATATACATGGGTCGACGAATTTTATTTACTATTTTATTTGTAACAAAAATTGGGCTACCAACTTCTAGTTTCGACCACTAGTTTTTCATCTCAGCCATTTTGCTTCCATTATTGGGTTGTCGGCGTGAGATTTGTCCATTTTATATTAATAGGTTAGTTGAGTTCATCACGTAATCTTTCAAGACTAGTGACTTAGTGAGGAAGAAAAAAGATTGAGTAGACATCAAAGACTTTTCTCTCCTACCAAGCGGCAACGCTCTTCAATTCATCAATCAGACCAAACTTCAATATCAATTGCATCACCATTTATATCATTCTCAAAATATCATATCCTGAAAATTTTGCACTTCCCATACGCTGCCTAGGTATGTATTCAACTATTAATAATTCAACATATGCACCGTACCATACAAGTTGTTTAATGATATATAACATTCGTTTATTTTAGGATTTGTTTATTTTAAAAATAAATTTATCTATACTTATTTTATTTAATAATTTATATTTTATTTTAAATATTAATGATTTAATTATTAAATTTAAGATTTTTAATATATAGATTAAATATGTTAATTTTTAAAAAAATTTAAAATTATTTGATGTTTCATTTTATTAATTTAAATTAATATATAAAATAACTTTATTCATTTGAATCAATAAAATAAAATATTAAATAATTTTAAATTTTTTAAAAATTTACAGATTTGATTTATACGTTAGAATTTTTAAATTAAATAATTAAATAATTAAAATTTGATATAAAATATAAATTATTAAATTAAATAAATTTAAATAAACTTCTTTTTAAAATAAATGAATGCCTTCTCTATATATATTATTAAATTTCATATTATCATATCACATCTAAATAATTTATAAATATTTCACTATGCTTTTATTTTTAATGACTTACTATTATTTTATTTATAATTTTCTGGATCTTCTCTTTTTCTTGGTTTGATTATTGTCATTCATAAGCTATCAGTGTTTGTACAGGAAAGGTCATTAACCTAAAAAAACTAGGTACAAAAATAGCAGTGAGAGGATTATACATTTATATATTCGTACATTTACACAACCAGAAAATTTGTACCAATCTATCATAGCTTCAAATCTCACAGAAACAACTGTCATTTGTTAATAATAGTCACACGAACCTGATCACAATTATATGTCTAATGTTATATCCAAAATACTAAGAATCAAAGCCTAACAAATCATATAAATTGGACTATTGGGGAGACCCTTGTGTCTGAATCAGCCTTATGAACAGAGAAAGGAAGTAAACAAATAAAAGCCCTCCTCCCAAGACTCCATCAAGCTTCATTTCTCTTTTCACCAAAACCACTAGTGCCAAAACTAGCATAAAATTATACATAATAAGGATCCAGCCACCAAAAACACCATTGTTTCCCACAGATAAGGATCCTTAGGGATCACAACAGGTTCAGGGTACTCTGACCAAGTAGAAGTCACAAGAGACAAGCCTAAACCAATGAGGGTATTGAAGATAGGACCGGCATAGCAACCTGATATTGCTACTTGAACACCCTCTTGTCCACCATTTAAAGCCATTGTTAAATTTGTCATTAAATCACCAATTGAGTTCCCCCAAGCAAGAACTGTTAACCCTAGCATTGAAGGACTTATTCTACATATGTACCCTATTGAAACCAGCAACCCCACCAACTCTTGTGCTATAATGTAGCTCCATGTCACACTCATCACAAACCCACCTGCAAGCCAAGGAAATAAGCACTTGTTTGGTGGCCCTGACATTTTGGTTGTGAAAAATGCAGCCACACCAAATATGATTCCAACCAACAGTCCAATTTCATACACAATAAGGTTTTGGCTGAAGTCACTGTTTCCATTATAAGGACTTCTCCACAGGAAAGACAAGAGAAGTGGAGATAATATCACTGAAGAAACTGCATACACCTTTGACCATCTCTCTTCACACACAATAGGAATTGTCAATCTCCTAGGCAAGTAAAGGGGCATCTCAAGAACAAAAAGTGACACTCTACACATGGAATATCTCATACAACAGAAATGTTTCTCAATATCTTGAGCACCATTTTCAACACAATCAATTGGTCCTTTCTTGAGAAGAGGCACACTCAAACTCAAATCATTGCCAATTTCAGCATCAGCACCACCACCACCTTCCTTCCATCTAGAAGAGACATAAACAATAACCACATACACAGCATACATCAAAGTGAAACCAATTGCCCCAAGAACATTGATCCTACCATAGACCAAAATACCAAACAAGGTCAGAAGAACCAACAGGAGAAAATAAACATCTCTCACAAACGCAGACTTGACTACTTGAACACCCCTTTGGCGTGTTGCAATGCTCACACTCCCCACCACAACACATGACACAAAGGAAACGCCCCCAAGAACCGTGTTGAAGCCAATGCTTCGGGTCCCACTTCCCTGGAAAGACACAAGGCTAGAGAAAACATCACATGCACCATTTCCAAGAGAGAGGAGAGTAACTCCAGCAATAGTAGGGGACAACCTTAGTAACTTTGAGAGGCTTTCAAGGGAGGGACAAAAGTACTCAGAAGTTGTGTTAGCCAACAAGTAAAACAGAACTAGGAGCCAAAGAAACAAAAGGGTGTAACCCAGAGAAGGGAATCTCCCAAATTTGCAATAGAAAAGGTAGAGATAATCAATGTAGCCCTGAGAAGCACAAGGGTCATTGGATTTCAGGTACAAGCACTTGGCTCTGTAGTCACCGAGGTTGTCTAAGCTCTCACACTCTTGCTCATTGCTGATATCAGAGGCAGCGATTTTGGTCACAACCACAACTTCTGGGGTGTGTAAATGAACAATCATAAAAGAACAAATCACGAGGAGGAAAGAGGTGTTGATGAACAAGGTGTATCTCATGCTTTTAGACACACAAACTGTCATGGCTATAAGCACTTAGAGTTAGACTAAGACCAGTGTTTCAAGCACAAAGAAATATTAATATGGTCGTAACTTTGTGATTAAGGAAAGCCATGCATTTGTGAACATGAAGCAAAAGAACTAAGCTAAGAATACCAAGATCGGAATGAAGGGGAAAAATCACATAATCATGTCGCAGAACAGAACAAGACTTAAAGAAGGGATTTTATATCAATGATATGGATGGATTACAACTTTCTCTGGCTTTTTGTTTAAGGCAGAACAAAGAGAAGAATGAGTGAGAATATGGCAAAGGAAAAACCAATTCGATTTGTATAATACAATCTTTTGGTACATCATATTATGACTGAGACACTGCAACCAAACACTGGCAGGAGTTTGCTAGCTAACAGACTTCCACACACGCCTTGTTTTGTGTGAAATGATATTTTCAATATAAATTTAGTAGTGAACTTAGGTTATTTTTAAATAAACTTATCTCGAAGTATTTTGAGAAAGAAAAAATATTGAGATTCTGATCAACTTATATTTTAATTTTAATGTAAATACTTAATTAATTTATATATACTATAGGTATTTAAACTTTTAAATTTGACAGCTCTTTCACTTTAACTTTTTCAAAAACTAAGGTACATAAATTATTGTGGTTTATGAGTGAAATTCAATTCATTTTACTTATTATATTTTTTTTATAAATACTAATGAATATGTTTATCCAGAAAAGGTCTTAAATTAATTAATTTTATTTAAATAATAAATAAAACTATTTTATAATATAAATATATTTTGGGTTATATATTTAAAATTGACTTTTATAAATTATAAAAAAAATATATCTTTAAAGTTAGATCCAAGTCCTCTAAAGGGTATAATTTGCTATAGAAAATAAATAAATAATATCAAGATTTTATGATTTTTTTAAGATGTAAAACATAATTATTCATAATATATACACATGTATAATAAATCATTACATTAAAATTGAGTTTTTTTTCTTTAAAGAGGAATCAAATTCTTCAAATTAACTTCACCTCAATTTTGTGCAAACAATTTTCTAGCCGCAGTCACATTAGTTTTAACCAAACAGGTTTATTAGATTAGAAATTATTATTATTTTTTTAATATAATTAGGGTGTATATTTCCTTTCTCAACTAATGGAATCATTATTTATAACTATTATAGAAAAGATATATTTTAGTAATTATCATTTTAGTTTTCACTTTTTAATAAATTATTATATATCCTTTAAAATATAAAATATATATATATATTTATATTTTTTTAAATAATTATTTATAATTTTTAATATTTTTTTATATATAATTATTAGAGATATAAAATATCTCGACTATGACAAGAATAAAGTGATTCATCTAATTATCTAATTATAACTTCCAAGAAATGTTAGTTGTGTATCTGAGTTTAAAAGTCGCTGAAATGTGTGAACTTATCTTTTATCGTACCTTTCACATCAAGTTTGAGTTTGTCTCCCATGTGTGACCGTGTAACCACTCTACTTTAGGTACCCATGTTTTAAGAGTATGAGACAAACCGAAAAATTAAGAGTCGTTCTTTATTAGTATTTCAAAATGTAAATAATTTTTAACAGACTGATTTGATGGCAAATTTTATCAACAGAACAAATTGAGACACTAATTCCATGTTGAATTCTTTGTAGAACTAGAATGGTGATAAAAAGAATATGTGTGAAGAACTTATTTGAGAATCAAGATTTATTAGAGGGTAATCATATGTGTAATTTTGGACAAAAAAATAATTCTAAAATAGAGACCTATGTTTTTAATATATGTTTGTGGTGGGGTGATTATTTTTTGACAATAACAAAAATTAAGGAGAAAAAAGTTGTTATTTTTTTTGGGTGAATGAAAAAAGAAGAAAGTTTTCATTTGTTTCAGTTATTTAATTTATATATATTAATAAAGGAAGAGGTGCTTTTTGTCTTTATATATTTATTTTTAAAGAAAATTTAAAAGAAAAATTTTTGTTAAATTTAAAGATAATGATATTTAATATAAAAGTAAAAATTTATTTTAAAAAAATTAAATTTTTAAAAAATTTAAAAATAATAATA